TTGAATGTTACCATAAAATCCATCTTCAGTTAAAACGAGAATTAGCTAGGAAGAACTAGCTTTAACAATCCTGTTTCTAGTTTTCACTAATAATAAATTTGGTCAAAACTATTATCTTTCATTTAATACAGTTTTTACTTCGTTAGTGCAGAATTTTCCTGCCGTAATCTTTCGTCAATAAATAAGTTAGTAAAAATAAATAAGCAAATTTAAAAAAAGACTATATAAGTCATCCCCTTCAAGATCTACGCATCTGTATTATCTACAATTTGGAATAGTTTTAACCAAAATGTGTCTAATCACAACTAGAACGAACTTATTAATTTTAGTTTCACCTAGTCAAAATCAGAACTGGAAATGTTAAAACTAAATATTAAAACCAATTTTTACCGTAATATAACTGTACATATCAATCGAATATTAATCCAAAAAAACTATATTTAGCTTCTTAATGTTTTCAACTTATTTAAAATACTAAACAACTATAGAAAAATGTGTTATAGATAATGAAATGGATGCCAAGGTGTCGTGAGGATTTTTTAAGGAAATTAAAGACAATGAAAAATACTGCTTGGATAGTATCCAGTAATTTTCTAATTAAAATGTAACTTCGTAAATAGATTGTTTTATACGTATGTTAGATACTAAATGTTACCTACTAAAATCACTATACCAACTTCTCCTACGACTTCGTCCAAATTTCTACTTTTAATGGAACAATATTGAAAATGAATAAGAAAGTTAATTAACCATTCTTAGCAAACTTTTCTGTTAAAAAAAACCTTTGAGAAATTATAAGTATCTAATAAATAATATATGTTTTGTTAAAGCGGTGGTGTACTTCACATTAGCAATGATTCTAAAAATAATGCATTAGCCAAGTCTACGATAAAATAACCGAAACGTAGAAATGTCAGTTGAATTAGCAGTGCTATACCTACAACAGTCTCAAATTTTCAAACTAATAACAAATTGAACGGAGTGCAAATGTCGTGCGAATGTTTTATCAAGTTTTAAACGCTTAAGCTATTCAAATCCATCAGTTTTTAAAAATCATCAACCGTAATTGATAATAAACTAACGAAGAGGTAAATTGTTTTTGAATTTTCTCACTGCAACCATTTAACCCTTATGTACTGTGTATCTGTATTTTAATTAATTGAATGTTAAATGTTTTCTGTGTACACATTTACATTGCTGATTCACCTAGGATGAAATTGTTAGAAAAATGTATCTGTCTCTAATTGAAATAAGCTTTAATTTCATATCAATTACTTCACTAAATCAGACGATATGTGAATTTATTGGTTTCAGTTGACATATTGTAATTTTCGAATATTCAATAAGTATCTAAATTAAAACCAAAAAATATTTTCAGTATAATACATGTCTTCAATTGTTTAAATCAAAGTAATATTGGGGTTAAAAGTACTTTATTTATTTAAAAAAACTACAGACGACGTTTCGCCCAGGTTGTTGAACTAGTTTTATTTAGTTACAATTAGCATTACGTTTTTAATTAAATAAAACTATCTCAATGCTAGTTTATTTTAAGTAAGCATATATTTATTAATTTTAAGAGTTATAGACATTACAGGCTACATAAATGGGTGTGGGCCAATTCTTCGAAACGTAGGGAGGCTATTTCAAATTTTTAAGTGTAATTGCAATTGCAAATTAACAATCAAAAACTGATTTAAAATCTTGAAAAAAAGCAAAAATGATTTCAGGACACCCTGGTTGTAAAAATAAAGCATTGAAATAAAAAATCTTATGAGTGTAGAAAACATTTCTATATCCAGTTTAGAAAAGTACTCAGCTTTTTTTGTAAGAATCAAGGGAAGGCCAGACCGTTATTGATTTTAAATTCCTTATAACCCAAAACGTCTTAAATTCCTGATAAATGACAATGTTAAAAACCACAAGTATATAATCTCTCATAATTCAAACCACCTTCCAGTTCCGTTCCATTATGACATCTAAGCAGTAAAAATAAAATGTCTCAGGCTGTATCTTTATTTCCTCTCCTACCTTGTAAGTAATTTTCATCATCCCTCGACCAAGTAAAATTGTCTTAGAAAATAATTTAGCAATCAAGTTAATTGAAATATCACTATATTGGACTCAAAACAAAATGTACCATTCTACAGATGGCGTTTATTACGCTGTTTGTACTAATTCATATTGGGTTATGTTAGTATTCAGGGTGGGATAACGCATGAAACCGAACTTTTAATGCGTAGTCCTTGGACCACCTATTCTCACCCGAAGCTACGTCCCTGCTACAGTCTCAATATTGCGAATAAAATTCCATTATCTGTTTAAAATAAAACTATTTCTATACCTTCTTATGTACGTCTCATTTTCGAACCATTAAATTTCATTCTCCTATTTTTACTCCAGCCGCTTTCTTCTGGTTTTAACTTGAAATTTTACCATGTGTGCCAACTATTCTCATCGATAATGTTAGTTCACTCCAAATGTTTTGATACATAATTCCCGTTCTAAAAATATGAATTTAGATATATAGTAAAATACAGTACAAAGAGTCTTAAATATCCTAAAGATAAAGAAACTTCAGAACGAGATTGTCTAAGTTAAGCAGAATAGAGTTAGATAATGTTAGTTCACTCCAAATGTTTTGATACATAATTCCCGTT